ATAAGCCTCGCGATGAGGACTTCTACATGCAGGATCCGACCGACGGGCGTATGAAGCCGAACCCAGAACTCCTCAAAGATCACCTCTTCAATGAAGGCCGCCTCACAGAAGAGCAGACAGTTTTCATCTTAGAGGCTGTCACGGAACTCATGAGCCGCGAGCCTAACATGCTCAACCTAACCGGACCTATCACTGGTGTGTTCACGCGCCAACGGTCATTGCACGCACGCGAGCTGACGAACTGCAGTGTGTGGAGACATCCACGGTCAGTTTGTAAGCCTCTTTTGAGCAGGAAATGTGAGACGTAGACATTGATGTGCCACGCAGTATGATCTCATGAAGGCCTTTGAGATTGGTGGCAAGTTTACGGAGACAAACTACCTTTTTCTCGGCGACTATGTTGATCGAGGATCCTTTGGTATTGAAGTATGTATCCAAGATGAGCGCAACTATTTGATTGCAGAAGTTTATCTGACTCGCGCTGGCTAGTGCCTTCTCTACCTCTATACCCTCAAACTCTGGTATCCAAGCGCGCTCGCCCTCCTCCGGGGAAACCACGAATGTAGACATCTAACAGGATTCTTTACCTTTCGTCGCGAAAGTGCGTACATCGAACCCTGCTCCTTCGTTGACGCACAGATTGAGCCTAACATCGCTACTCAGGCTTGCACAAATACTCGGAGCGGATTTATGAAGCATGCGTGCGCTCTTTTGACGCGCTCCCGCTCGCAGCGCTCATCGACGGCAAGTTCTTCGCCGTCCACGGCGGCATCTCTCCACACCTCGACAAGATCTCCGACCTTAATCAAGTATGTACCAGCATATGTCCATTGTCCATTGTCCTCCTAGTCTGTGACGACGTTCTTTTGAGCATGCTGACGCGTCTGTACGCAGATAGACCGCTTCATGGAGCCGCCAAGCTCCGGTTTGCTATGTGATTTGCTATGGGCAGATCCATTCCCGGAATACGGGAACGAGGTCCGTTCTCTCCTTATGCCTAAATTTCGCTCTTGGCTTATATGTTCTTGTTTACTTTTCTAGAACCTACCGCCGGTGGCATACGACCCCACAGATCCCCGCGCACGGGGCTTCTATTCGAATCAAGTGCGCGGGTGCTCGTTCAACTACACATATAGCGCGGTCTGCGCGTTTCTGGAGCGCAACGGTCTCCTCGGCATTTTTCGTGGTCACGAGGTGCAGGATGCGGGGTGCGTAACTGACGTCTTGTGTAGTTGTCTATACAAGATTGACGTTGGCATAGATATCTCATGCATCGCAAGACCGCAGCGAAGAAGTTCCCGTCGGTGATTACGGTGTTCAGCGCGCCAAACTACCTGGACGTATACCACAACAAAGGCGCGGTTATCAAGTATAAGAACAAGAACATCACCATCAGACAGTTCAATGCGTCACAGCACCCGTACTGGCTTCCGAACTTCATGGACGCCTTCACGTGGTCGCTTCCGTTCGTCGGTTCGAAGATCACAGAGATGCTGCTCGCGGTCCTCAGCGTGTGCACCCAAGAGGAGCTCAGCGACACATCAAGCGACTATACGGGCGAGTACTACGACGCCCAGCAGGACGACGAAGAAGAAGAGGAAGAAAGAGAGCGTCGCAAGCAGGAGATTCGCAGCAAGATCCTCGCCGTCGGCAGGATGCAGCGCGTCTTCCAGCTCCTCCGCGAGGAAGCCGAGAGCGCGACCGAACTCATCACGACCCCGCCGCCTCCGTTCCCGTCTGACCTGCCATCTCTCGTGCCCGCGTCGTCCCTCGGCGCGCCGCACCCGCCGCCATTGTACCCCGCGCCGTCGCCGCCCGAGCATGAATCACCCGACGGCGCGGGCCCGCCCGGCGCGTGGCCCGGCGGCTTCGCGGGCATGCTCCCCGACGCGCTCGGCGTGCAGATCAACGCCGTCCGCCGGCAGATCCGCTCGTTCAGCGACGCACGCAGCGCGGACATCGCGAACGAGCGCCTCCCGCAGTCCTCCCCGGAGGGCGCCCTCGTTGTGCCTTCGCAGAGCATGCGTCTGCCGCGCCTCGCGGGCGAGGGCGGGGAGGAGGGGGCTCCGGCCGGAATGGAGGGCCTTATACGCCGTGCGCTCGAAGAAGAGGGCGTCGACGATGGGGGCCTTGTGGAGAGGATTGCGGAGCGGATCGCGAGAGGGCGTCCATCGAGGCCAAGGGGGCTCAAAAGGTTCGAGACGTCACCGTGCTGAGTTGTCGAAGCGTGTGACATACTGGAAATCACGGACTTGAATACCTTCCATGTACGTGAACGAATGACTGTTGTGCTCTGAGGCTGTGGCTGTTGTAATCTAGTTGTTTTCTCTGTAGTGTGTCCTGTTTACATCTATGCTACACGCCTGTTGTATGTACTCGCAGCCTTCGCCCATTAATATCACTGAAGTGCGTGTCTAACTCGGCTGATTACGTCGGACGCGGAGTGGCACATCATCTTTTTAACAACAGCCCAGTTACGGAATACGTTTAACGGTTATTACGATCACACATACTATGCTCGACGTTCCTCCTGACAGTGGTGCTCCAATGCGTATTGTAGACGTACTCACCACTCTGATTCCGTTGTCACTATCTTCTTAGGGTGGCTGCTAGTCTTCGTGGACTCCCTCTTCCTCGTCTAAGTACGAGAGAGCGTCGGAATGACGGTCCCCTTCCCCTTTCCCATCCTCGTTACCCTCGTTCTCACCCTTATTGTCGTCCCCATTGTTATTTGCGTTGTCGCCCTCATCACCACCCTCGCCCTCGTCGTCCTCGTCGCTCTCGCTATCAGTATCGTCAGGTTCGCAGATCCTGCCCGGGGAGTGTCAGCACAGAGAAGACAGAGGTGAGCGCATCAGCGCACCTCGATTCGATATCATAGTACAGCTCCATGCCAATCGCGGCGAGGGCCGCCTTGGTCACCTCGTAGTCCTCAATGAGGTCCAAGTACTCTTTCCCCTCAAAGAAGGGCTTGATGAAGTCAGGGATCTGCTGGTGTGCGTACGGGTTATACGCGCCCGCGTCCATGAAGACGTCGCTTTCCTCGGTGGTTGTCGAGTTTGCCGTGGTCGCACGCCCGGATGAGACTGGCGGATTGTACGACGGATCCGCATGCTCGTCCGCATCTATGGGCTCGAAAGCCTCGCCGCGGTGGTACTCAAAGTATCGCCACTTGTACCCGAAGACGTGGATGACACCGAGCACTTGCGTGGTCTCGGAGGTGTGGAAGGCATGGCATGCTTGCTTGAATGTCTGAGACGAGATCCTCGGTTTCCAGTACTCAATCTCCCCGGGGAGCATGTGCCGCTTGATTTCAATAATAAGCACTATGATTCCTACCCTATCGCACTCTGGTATGTCATTGTCGTTCCGCTTGATGAAGTACAGTTTCTGGATGAAGTCGGGAACGACTGACGAGCGCGCCGGACGCTTATTCGGTGTTTCTGGCGAGGAGAGCTGGGTCAAGGCGTCTGCAATGGCTGACTCTGCTGCATGAGATTCAGATTGCTGACTGTGCGACTGCGAAGTAGGCTGCGACCGCTGACTCTGAGGTGTGGATTGGCTCTGTTGACTGTGAGGCGTCTTCAGCAGCTTCAAAATTCCGGAGCCTACGCTGGAAGGAGATGGGGCGCGAGAACGAGTGCGGGTGGGAGTCTCTGGATAATTTCCAGTCCCAGCAGCCCTCCATGCTAATGAATGGATGTTCACATCCTCCAAGTCGTACTCAAGGTCGACGGTATATTGAGGATAGGTGCCGAGAAGGATATCCTCAGCTTCGGCGGGGGCACAAAGATGTTTTTCAAGGCATGGACCCCACACACCATAAAGGGGTGCTTCTATCTTCTCGTGTTTGTGGATATGTGCGAATGCGAGTACGCGGTCGTCTCCTTGGTAGTCGTTGGGCAGCTGGACCGGGATGTTGGCGGCCGCCATGGCTTGTAAAAATGGATGTGGGCCAACTTGATGCGCTCAGGCCATCGCGCACCTTTCATGACTCGTGCACAATGGGAACGGTGTTCGGATAGTTCTCACGACAACAAGAGTTGCCGGATTTGGCAGACCCCACTCCTCATTTGCACCTGTTTATGCTGCTTATGTAACCAGCGTTGACAATGGGTGCAGCTGGGCGCCCGAACCGACTTGCGAGCCACCACGACGAACGGTTGAGCACGCAAGATATGTCGTCCGCCACAGATGTCCCCTCCGAGACGCATGAGCAACGCAAAGTATCCTTTGTCTTGCCCTCTGTATCCTCTGCCAAGGCGAAGCCCGCACGCGCCAAACGTACTAGTAAATCTCAGTCGAAGAGCAAATCCAAATCTAAGCGTGCTTCTGCTGAGGCAAAACTCCAAGCATCTAAATACCTTGCGAGCTTACTAGTACGTGTCATATATAGCGGTCATACTGTAACGAAGTTTACCTTTTATTACAGAATCAAGAATCCGAGAGGGAACAAGCCCGGAGACGGGAGGCTGGCTTAGAGCCTCTCATGGAGCTCACCATACCCGATGACTTTGTGTACACGCCGCGTATCTACGCGTTCGAGTTTGATAAGGAAGTGCGAGCGGCACTGACCAAGTGGATACGCAAAGCCTGCTGTATTCCGGACGAAGACGACCCGGAATGGTCAGTCATCCTCGCATGCGCGCTTACTGTCTTGCCCAAGGCAACGGGGATCCATCGGCTCGACGTCGAGTTTGCAATACGGGAAGGCCCTGCCCCAGAGGGAGAGCCAGAGAGCCTCCCTGTTCTAGCAGTCTTCTACGCCTACGAGTATAGAAAGATGCACCGGCGTCCGACGCAAAAGCAAGTTGACAAGCTTAGCAAGATCTTGGCGAACCGTCAGCCAAAGTGGTACACTGATATGTACCCTTTCGACTCGTGAGTGGCAACACATCAAAATCACGATCGATGTTAATTATGCCTCAGATGAATTTATGGACGGAGCGGAATGAGGATTACCTTTGTCTGATACAATAGGGCATTTACATGTATGTACGACACCGCGATTTTCCTGCAAATATGTCATTGTATACGAGCTCAATGTGCGACATACGCCATCCTATAGGGCTTCGATTCTAACACCTACTAAGTGCTGTCTCTTTGCAATTGCGACGATAACTTCTCTGTGTTGACCCACCGCTTATATCCGGGAGGTGTAATCGTCGACGGGCGCTTCTCATGGGCTTCGTGGCGTTCAGTCGTCAGACTCGTCACTATCACTTCTCACCCTTTGGAAACGTGAGCAGCATGTCAGCCGCCAGCAAAGCATCCTTCACGACACCAAAAGGTGCAGGGCAATCATTGCGTCATTCTTTACGCCTTTTGCTGATCCAATATCTATCGATGCATCTAAACCGAACAAATCCAGGCCAGATTCCGTCCTGCAGGTCAAGCAGAGCCTGCAGAGCAAAACTCGGCGCGACCCCTATCTAGCATGCTAGCCTTGTTATACATACTCAAGTTTCTCTACTTTTTTCTTCCAGGCGCCAGCAAGGGCCAATATCTTCCTCATGGCAGCCGCCATCTCCTACAACCTCATCTAAGTTGTGACGGCGCTCGTGGCCCTGTTGGAGCAAAACCTCGTTAGCATCGCTGTCAAACCCGAAGTCTCCAATGCGAACATCCAGTACGGGATGTATGTGAAGATGTACAGACGACCGAAGTAAGTCAACAGATTGAAAAAGACTCAGTTAGGCAGGCAATTTAGGTGAATGAACGCAGTATTCGGATCCTGCACAGTATCCTCGACGGTGAACTCCGGCTACAACGACCACAAATACCGGTTGCTGTGTAGATGGCTCTCAAATTCGGTTGTCCACACTGTCTATTCATAATCGAAGTGGGGACTAATTCCAACTGGAGTGGGGATTGATTTCAACTAGTTACGCTGTAGAGCAGTCGAGAAATGAGGCTAGGATTCGAAGCTGTCGTGTGACTCTGATTATTAGCCCGTTCTTCTGCTGGAATATATGCTTTTGGGGTGTAGAGGCAGCGCCACCGTCTGAGGGTCTCTTCACGACCCCACACCGCCAACCTTCCCACCTCCATGCCCACTGAGAAGCCCAAACTTGCCAAGGGCCTCGAAGAGTGCATGGTGCGGCGCAGGCTCGATGCTGTCGATGTTGTGGTGTATAATGAGACCGGTGAGAGGCGAGAACGTGTACGTGCAGTTGCTAGACGAGTCAAGACGAACAACAATGAGCTCGAGGAATAAAGGCTGGAGTGCGGGAGACGAAGGCTTACACCTGCCATTCGGTGGGAGCACCGCTGACACGTCCAACACCGGTTCACAG